TGTGTGTGTGGCTGGCTTAGCATGTAAGCTAGGTAGGCATGGGACATGACGTTTGTTGTAAGCTACTTGGGGTAGCTTACAAACCAAGCCATGTGTGAGGCATGGTGGCATGGCTGGTTGTCCCTTGGACACTTTATAAAATAGTGCCAGGGGACAAGTACACTATAGATGATGTCACAGTACAACCGTCTTGTTTGTGGTATGGCCGTCTAGTCCATGGTCTTGTCGGTGCAGCGGTCGACTTCGGGCAGCCGACTGCTCAGCGTAGTCAGCAACCGTCTGGTTGGCGCAGTCGGATAGGGGGCCATCTGGGGTGGCCTGAGCAGTCGAACTGAGGGGCTTTGCTAGCACCGATGTCTTGAAATATTGTCTCGCCATCTTTGAGGTACCTGTGGTCAATTACCCCGACACACTCCGTTGGAAAAGAGGAACAAGGAACGTTATGAGAACCTTGTAGGTTGAAAACACATGAATCAAGATCTCAAGGGGCAAGAAAGAATTTTAAACCACTCCGGTTGAGAAGAGAAGCAAGGTATACGAGAGAATTTGGGCAGCGCTCTGGTAGGAAGAGATGGAACTTGATAAGACGGAAAGAGCTTGAAAAATAGGACGCAACACTCCGGTTAAATGGATAAGCATGAAAAGAACATGATCCTGACAAAACAAGATGATGGGTGAAGAGAACAACATCACAATGCCTCCGGAACAAAAGAGTGGAATGAAAAGAATGGAGAAGAGAACATCAACTTCCACCATGAATGAACATAAAGGATCCTTCCTGCGAAGAAGGGTTGAATGGAGTTGTTGGAAAATCAACAACAAAAGATATGATTTCCATTGGTCTTATGGAAAACATCCCAAAATTATGAGGTGAAGACCAGCCACTAACGGAATCAATTAATTTGATTGAGAACACCAAAGAGATGGAAAAAAACTTCTTCCACTAAGGTGATAAAGAGATAACTTGGATCATTGATAAGGACCACCATAGCAACATTCCCAATGAAAGGCTTTATGCGAAATCTATACCAAGATAACTCCAACTAAGAGATTGATGGGTTGCAAATATCTCCTGAATGAGGAGAAATGATGGTTTTAAAATATCTCATTCTTGACAACTTGTGAATCATGATACGAAGGGAAATTATCAAGAATGACATAACACCACCTCAAAAGATAAGACAGAAAGAATTGCACTTTGGAATGCAAGATGAAGAATGCTTGAACTCCTCAAAACCAAACATGTGTTAAGCACCACGTTTATTTTAGAGTATAGCTTGGCGTATCTTAACTTCGAGCGAAATCTTGACGAACAATTGAAGAATGAAAGGAACCCTTGACGACCACCATGTTGAGCCTTCGTGAGAACTCTGGTAATAAAAGAATGATCAAACAAAAGTAAAGTTGAAAAGAACTCCGATAGAAGCCTTGCAATGATTTAGATGGAGCTACAAAATGAGAAAACTTTGAACTTCAGACAGGAAAGATGAATAACTTGGAACCGAGAATTTGATATCATGAACGAACTCCAGAAGAAGGAATTAATCACTTGAATGAAACAAGAATAAGAATTATGTTATGCTTATCCTTCACCAATTTAATTTATGATAAGCAATGGATTTGGCATAGCACTTATTCTTGTTGAAAAGGATTAAGGAGAGATATAGCGCAAACTTGGCAAATTCTTGAACGACACACCGGTAGGATTTTTGGAAAGAACGGATGAATTGATACGATAACAACGAAAGATAAAAGTTGGATGAACCACCGTAAGAATCTGAAAATCAATGAAGATAAAGAATGAATCACCAGGAAGAATTGGAAAACGAGCGAAGTTACTCGAGGGAATTTAGATACAAGAGAACGAAGAGATCACGAACTGACTAGAGAATACTTCAACGATGCACCGGTAAGATTTGGAGAACGAGAGCTGAAGGTTTGAATGAATAATTCTAAGATGACGGGATCCGGAGAATCAAACTGAAAAGACTCCTAAATTTCTCCGGATGGGTGAAAAAAATTCTCATAATCAAAAACAATTATGAGAGAATGGCGGCAAGCTGGAACTATGAATCTTCTAGAGAATGGACAAGATTTAAGAGAAACTCTTCTTCAGTCTTCAAAATCCGAGAATGACGACGAGAAACACCACCAAAATGTTTGAGATACTTTGGGAGAATGAAAAGCAAAGAGGTTGAGCCAACAATGAAAAATAATTTGAAATCGATCTTGGAAAGGCATTTGACTGATGAAATTCATCCTTGCGTCAAACTTGAAAGAATTCGATAATAACTCCGGGAAAAATTAGAAGAGTCAGGTAAGATCCTTGGAAAGACCTGTGGGTTATGGTCCCACTCAAAAGAAACATCGTTGAACGATTTTTACCAGAGAGATTGCACAGGTTGAAATAAGTGGCTTGAATGAGATAACAATCTCAAAATAACTTGAACGGATTGAGAGTGGAAACGTGAATCTTTCGAGATATCTTCAACACTCCGGATATGAACTAGGAGAGGTGAATATATAAGAGAGCCTTCGATAAGAAATTCACATGTGAAAATATGTGAAACAAAAGGAAGAGATATGATCAACACCGAAGCTTGAAATTAATCCACCAGAGAAGAAAACGAGAATGAAAGAATGATTAACTTGAAGCTCTTGCGCATCTCTGTCGGTGTCAAAACCGGCAGATCTCGGGGTAGGGGGTCCCGAGCTGTGGATTCTCGGATCAATGGTAACAGGAACGAATGAGACGATGTTTTCCCAGGTTCGGGCCCTCTTGATGGAGGTAAAACCCCACGTCCTGCTCTTGTTTATATTGATGGAGTATCAAGTACAGAGTTGATCTACCGCGAGATCATAGGTTGTGGTCTAAAACCTAAGGGTATGATGAATAATGTCATAATGATCTATCGACTAGCCTGGCCTCGGCTTATATAATGTACCGGAGGCCTAGGATAACAAGAGTCCTAGTCGAATACGTTGGTGGAGAGGAGTCCTTGTCTTGATCATCAAGTCTTGTGGAATATTCCTTGAATGCGGCATGGGCTGCCCGAAGTGGCCCATGACTAAACCGCCATGGGGGTCCTCAGCCCGATCCACCTGGTCGGGAGACGACGTGGTGATTACCCCCTAGTCCAGGACACCGTTAGTAGCCCCTTGAACCGGTCTTCTAGTTGGGGAAGCTCCTCGATTCTTCCGAACTGCTCTTCATCTTCGGTCGTCGGACTTGAAAACTGGTTCAACAAATTTCCCCATCTTCGATCTTGAGGATCACTGAAGTGAGTCCGAAGAGTTTACACGTTGGGTATCCGAGGAGCC